CGTCAGCGTTTTGAGAATGACAGAGAGGCGGAGATGGCTGTCACACAGTGGTTCCAATCCCAGGCGGCAGACTTCTACGACACAGGTATTAAAAAGTTGGTCCCACGGTATGATAAATGTCTCAATTCCGGTGGCTAATGTGTTGAAAAATAGCTGGACACTTGCTGTATCTGTTGCAATAAATATTTCCATGAAATTGTGTTTTGTTTCTGTAAACGGCCCCAGGGAAACTTACTTTGTGGACGTGCCTCGTAGTTTTATACTCCCTTTTCATAAGGCAACATTTTGTTGTGTGCTTTGACAAATTATGTGTGTTGCAGATGAAAAATGGTTGGGGAACATCAGTTTAGGTTCAAACTCCTGTATATGTTAAGACTATGGCAGTTTGATTTATAATACCATTAATTTTTATGTAAATGATGCTTCAAAATTCACATACATTTAATAAGAGTGAGTCCATCTTAAACAGTTACAAATGTTTCTTCTAATTGGTTAACAAGTATTTTACAAAATCACTTCCATTGAATATCCTACAGTAATACTGGTTCAACCTAGAACTAAGGAGATAACTGCTTCATAACTATGGACTAATATACTACACTTACCAGATCCGAAAATTCATTTTGGCCAATATCCATCCTTTCTAGACTAGTCAGACGTGCTATAGACTTTGGCATAGTGTTCAAATTATTTTCCCTTAGTTCTAAAATTCTTAATTTGGTCAGTCGGCCAAAATTGGCCGGTAAAAAGTCCAGACATGTGTCATTCAAATAAAGTTCTTCCAGGGAAAGCAGCTGTGTAAAACCTTCTGGTAATTTTTCCAATTGGTTTACACTAACATCGACATATACAAGGTGTTTGCAACCTTTTATATTATCTGGAATGGCACACAGCTCTGAAAAAAATGCAACAGTATGAATGTCACACAACAATGTAATGCTGAAACAGGCAATTAAACTTGTGTTAATAAAACATCCATGAGCAACAAGCTCTTTCAGAGCCAGTTTCTGAAACGTTGTGGCTTTTCTTTTTAAACAAAGACGATGGAAAAAGTCTAGAGGGCAAATAATTTTAAGTGTAATCCACCATCGTCAGAACCCTTTAGAACTGAATCACTGTTTTTATATTTCTCTTCCAAGACATTTTTAACAGCCAGTCTCCTGAAAAGTTCTTTAGAAAACAGTACTGTATATGAGTCAAGATAGTAATATAATGATGAAAGTATAGTAATGTTCAACAACAAACCATTTCTGCTCATATCCAGATGTTGCAGATTTATCAGAGATGCAATTGCAGGCGGCAGGCTCTGAACATCATTGTCACTCATGGATAACACTCTTAGCCCATGACAATGAAATAATGGCCGTGGCAAATCACGGATCTGGAAGATCAAATGCTAATACTAAACAACAATAATAATGTCACCAAGAATATTAACACATAATAAATACAAAGAATAATATGAGACTGAGATAAATGACAGCTATAAAAAACTACCCTGTCTCGAGCCAATTTAACCCAACTCATATCTTCAAGTCTCTAATTTCAGTAAAGATTCAAGTATCACATTCTGGCTTTCTTCAGTTACTTTTATCTACTGGATGGAAGGTTGAACAGCAAATTCACTGAGGAAAATATTCCAATAATTCTGTCACAAATTGTAACTCTGCTTTTCAATTTAATAATGTATAGAAATCAAAATAAGTAACCAAAGTAAAGGATAATAAAACTGAGCACTTACTCTATTTGAGTCCAAGTACAATTCCTCCAAAGTTCTCTCAAAAGCAAAAACCTGTGGAGGAACATCTTGTAGCATGCTGTGCTGATAGTCTAATTGCCGAATGTCTTCTGTTTCTGGTCTTACACAGTTCAAGAAGCATTTCCACGGCATGATAAATGATCATTGATTGCACAAAATTCCTGAAATGACATCACAGAACTTATAAATAAAGCAGTTCACAGAAGTGAGTTACTGAAGAAATTCAAAAACATGTGTTAATAGAACTGATACTTCAACATCATTTACATTAAAACCCACTATAGGAAATAAACCTGAACCACTTAACCTCACAACAGACTTCTCTAAGGTATATTTTAATAATATCCTCAAATCTCTTCTTCAATTCTTCATATGGTTCCTTACCAAGAGATTACCACCACCAAAATTTTGTATGCACTTACAGTCTTCCTGATCCAATGTCACCTGCCATCATTTCATTATCCTAATATTATTGGGTAAATTACACAAACAATAAAGATACTATTTATTTTCAATTCCACATTCACTGCATCTCTCCACAATTCAATTACAAATTTCTGCAGATTCACTTTCCATGACAATCAACCATATTCCCAATTTGTACACAAGACCTGCTCCCGGAAGGAAACCATTTGCTGATCCAACACGCAAAACAATCAGCCCTCAAAAGCACTTCCTGCCTCCATCTGCAACATCATCACTCTGTTAACGTTTCCACAACGTAAGTTTCGTGTCAAACCAAGTTTCATCCACAGGATGCTCCTTTTAAATCTTTGAAGATAACAGAACTTTTACTTCATAATACCTTGGTTTTATTATGATCTTTCACTCAAATTCACTTTTCCATTGTAATTCCATTTTAATGTAGCTCTGTCACAATATAGGACCCCCACCAAAAATTAAATCTCTCTCTTAGAACCAGTAATATTTTTTCTGTTTGTCTTCATTTATTGCTGAGAAATATACTTAGCAGTATTTTACTGCTTGATTGGGGTTCTTTTGGTAATGTTACCAGGTCTGAGAAGTTTTGTGACAACAGCAATTTATCACACTTCACATTATAGTATTTCTTCCACTGAATTGCAGAACCATACTTTCAGACAACAGCAATAAAAATTAAAGTAATTAACTGGGAAATAATAATTATATATAATGATGATCAATGATGGAACTACTTACACTGTGAGAGTAAATAATGTTTTCAGTTAAGAATAAATCACTTGCACATGTTCGGTACTTGTCCTTCATCCCTATGACTGAACATGGAAATACATTCTTACAGCTTGCACGTAACAGATACTGATGTCTCTCAGATTACTAGGTTTATTACTTTGGCAGGAGTTTCTTGTGCTCTCAGTTACTAAGAAATATTCATACTGGTTCCTGTCCAGTCCTATTTAATTAGTGTTTAAATATACCTTGATACTGTAAGCAACACAGACATAATGACAGATGAATGAAAACAATGACATCCTATACCAGACCAAATATGAACAGTGACAGTGATACAAATAGATTAACATGCCTTTCCAGTTTAAAAAAAGAATAAAAACTTCTAAATACTGATCAATGCCAAATTAACAGGCATCATCATACAAGGTCCTGCATTTTAGGATTAAAAAAGATCAACACAGGTTTAAAATACACTAGTAAGGATAATAAACAAGTGTCCACAAGCTAATATGCAATTCTTACCCTCTAAACCCATTACAAACAATGGATAGGTTTTATAACATATTTTGGATGATAGTATGTGTAAAGCAATATATACACATCTATTTTTTGCGTCCTACTGTGGTATTCCTTTATATATGTTAAATGTTAACTTTATATAAAATCAAATTATCCAGTGTTTGAAACTGTAAAATATTCACAAAGATATACAAAAAAATGATTACCTAATACACACTTTCCTGCTACGAACGTAATAAAATATATAGCATTTGCAATAAGAAAGGAATATAAACTTTCAAAGGACTCTGCTACATGGAGCCAGTTAGTTAAAGAAAGTAATGGTTAAATATATATAAAAAACATAAATGAGTAGTCCTGTGCTGCTCTACAACCTGATGTTATTCTACGATACTTAATACTGAAAATCCTAAGCTCCTGACATTACTGACACTGCTTTAAATTTATATGGGTGAGTACTGATAGTAAAACACACAAAAATTTTCCTTAGAACTGAAAAGCCATATCCAACCTTAATGTATTTCCAAATCGTTTGTATTAAACAGACGGATGCAATAACACCTTCGCTTGCTGTCTTCCACCATGTATTATAACTAGATAATTGATTAATTTTGAAAGTAATTTGTTCCACGTTAATATTAATGGAAAAGTTACTAAGCTAGGTTAAGTAGGTCTCGTGTTGAAGTTACATAGTGTGGCTCGTAACACTTGCGCAAAGCAAATAGAAGATATTTATCTCGCAATACGCGGCGACAGTTTTTAAACAACACAGTTTACAGTTTTTTTCTTAATTTCCATTTGAATAAGTACTCACAAATTATCGTAATTTGTAAAACCATAACGAATATACTTTTAAAAGTATCTGCAATGTTACCAACAGAAATTGAATTTCAAAACATCTTCAAAAACACAGATAAACTATTCTCCATCCGTTGTCATTGAACCACCACTGCAATTAAATTATTGCATGTAAATATCCTATGAACTGGATATCCTTGTGGGAGCTGAAATACTATTTAAGTAACTAAAAATATCACAGAGACTGTTAGTTGTTTTGTGGGTATGTTTATTAAGCACAGCTAACCTCCAATGCTATTTTTGGGCAAAACAGCGCTGTGCACATTGTGCTACGCCCTTTCAGGTATTTACAAGTAAACAGAACGGTGTCATAACAGTAGCACAGTCGATAAGAAAGGCACTTAACGCCCCCCCCCTCCCCCCGAGATACACTGGCAATAATTATGGTTTTGTTATTAACTTGGATTATAGCTAGTGAAATGACTGAAATTTTGTCATAAGAGTTCAATGATGAAAACCTGAAAAATAACTTTATAAATAACATTAAAATTTAGGCCCGGAGGCCCTGTAGCTGTTTCAGTTTTTTGTTGTATTATCTTGACCCTCACAACAACTAGAAATAAGAAAAAAGCTAATTTTTTTATTCAAGAAAAATAGAATTCTTAGAAATAAAAGTGTAGAGAAAGCAAAATTATAAAATGTGGAACTCATTCAATGAATCAGGACAATATGAAGTCATGAAATAAACGTATCCGTTTAAGGAAATAATTTATTCATTGTATGTCTGAATCATCAGTACAACAAACAGGGACAGTACCCTTCACAGTTTAAGGTGGTTGTATTTTTCCAGTATTCACAACAGAGTCACTCACAGTTTCTTGATTTGTCTCTACAGCTTTCTGTGATTGTTAGGAGAGGTGGAGATATTGTGACTAAGGGAATTCAACTTAAAACACCAGTAAAATAATAACACTAATGGTATATTATTATATATAAACGTTTTCATAACTTAATCTCCATCTGTCCTAACTGAATTCCATTTATGGACACTGTCAGTTTACATTCTGTATCCTGCTCTCTGTTCTGTACACCACTGATTTAAAATTACAATGTTGGAAGTAGAAAAATCATGATTAAACTTTTGCCAAAGGAATATAAATAACAGTTAGAGAGTACAAAAATGCCATGGAATGTATTATATGCAAATCACAACATATTTAAATTTGATTTCAGGCATTCACAGCATTTCAATACTGATGTTGCTTCTTTTTTTGGATGATAAATCAATGTAGAATGGAATTGATGGCTGACATTTTGAAGATCCTAGCTATTTCCATCTTCAAGGCACAGTGATTACACAATGACTTAGTGATACTTACAGTACAAGTCCACCATTTAAGTTTCAAGCCTTGAAGTTGGAAATAGTAAATATCTCAGAAATGTCAGATATAATATCCACATCTGTAAGGGCTGACACCCAAAAACAGTATCAATATCAGCATTCTTTATTATCTTCTTGTCAGCATGCATTCTGCAAACTAAGCAATGATTTTTAGTACACTTCAATACAAGAACTCCATTTCCCAATGATACTTATTTCACTGTTACAAAAAACCAGTTACAAATCTACAAGGAATATAGGCCTACATGTTGATTTCCACTTACAATAGGCATTAAAATTTCCAGCTCTCATTTTATTTTCACTGCAGGGATATGAAAAGTATGGAATAGGAAGGCAATTTGATAAACTGTCATTGAGAAATAAATGTACGTATGTCCTACAGCATATGTTCCAATGTTTTCATCTGTCATTTGTTCTCTCTCTTCTGTCTTTATCTTGGCAACCAACTACAAAAATTATGAACTCTCAGTTCTGTAATAAATACATTCCACTGTGTTACACAGTTATTGTGGTTGTTATCTTTAGAAAACCTATTAAAAATATCACAGATATAAAATTTGGCATTTCTTTGTGTATTATTTCATTAGGATGATAAGGAGACAGTAACAAAACATATGGGGGTCTTGTCAGTAAGGAGATTCTTGCATGAGCTTGGTTATTTCAATTAAATTACATGCACATTTTCAACTTTACATGAAACAATTTCCATCTTGAATGTTGTTCTACAGTTGATGTCTAATTATTGTTACATTCTTAAACTTTGAATGCCAAAAGGACCTCTTCAATCAAATTCTGACACAGCTGAAACATGACATAATTATTCTATCTGATAATCTGAAACAATATTCAGAACGTTTCAAGGCTTATGATATTCCATATGCACATTCATACATGATGAAACATATTTATATTCATATTCCTTTTAAAATTTAAAAATGTACTTTAAATCCTGTTCATATAGCCACATCACTAAAATACAGATTTCCCACCTTGAAAGATTGACAGGCCAATCTGCATTTAACATTTTGCAGTCCTTCAAGAAAGAATTAAGATTCTGCCTCATATTTAGAACAGCAAATCACTGCAATTGTTCTCTTGTCACACAGCTATTGTAAAATTCTTATGTGAATATTCTTGCTCCCCATATGAGGGGCAGCTATTTTCACAGGGTTTAAATGGCCTCTTCAGTCTGTGTATTGTGTCCATGTCACATTCAGCTTCACTTAACTCATGGCCATCTGAGAAACCAGTTGGGGGATCAAGACATGTAGCAAATGGAATATTGGTATCTTGCCGCCTGTAAATATATCAGTATGTCATCTCATGGACATGAAGAAAACATATAAGGCATGGCACACATACTACTTATATTCTGTAATCCATTAAAAATAAAACATAACAACAAAATAAAACATTTTTATACATTCATTACTAAAATGGGTTAATGGTGAAGATAAAGCAATTAATTCACTTAATGTTACCTACAGCAGAGGTTAGCAAGGGCAGACTGATATTAGAGGTTTAGGAGACAGGGATCATTTGCATCTGACATTCCAATTCATCTGTATCTGTGGGTACCATACTTTTGCTATTTAGGATGAAAATGACAAATCTTTATATTTGTTTATACATGTAAAAATGAACATCATAGCAGAAATGTGTGTGGAAGATGCTAGTTATTCTTGAATCAATAGTTTGGGCAACTACGAGCTTAGTATTGTAACAGGAGGAATTGAGAAAGGATGGTACTGACACAGACTTCACAGTTTTGTGAAAATTATTATGTTGGTTGAAAACTTTATACTGGGATAATGGGGATACCCGTTCTTCAAGTGCCTGCGCACTGTGGGTTCCAACTTTTCGTTGGCTTGATCTATAGACATTCAGTAGGACTCCTTGGATGAGGGATCGGCCCGTCGCAAGGCCTCTACCTGTACACAGGACAGCACAATACAGAAAAACGCGGACAAACATCCATGCCTTGAGTGGGATTTGAACCCACAGTCCCAGCGACCAAGCGGCAGAAGGCCCACGCCAGACCGCACGGCCACTGCGGACAACCTTAAAAACTTTGTAGTGGGAGTAAACACAGATTGTACACAATATTACTTTTTTGATGAAAGCACACTTAAATGTTTGAAAGGGTTGACCACATCACATAAAATTAAAGGTTTAACTCTTTAAAACGTGACATACATCTAAATAATATTTAAAAACTCAGTTCCTTTCACAAAAAGAAACACAACAGGTCTCCATTACAAAAATAAATTGGATAATGTTGTCTAAGGAAATCATCACTAACTATTATGTTTTATTCTCTGCCCACAGGTCCCACTATCATTTAAGAACTTGAGATTGGCTCTGTAAAATTCCTAGCATGTATCATATTCCTGAATTGGAGTTCAGTGCTCCACTAGGAAGATGGAGTCGAGCTTACTTTTTACCTGACGTTGTGCCGGTGCCGACGAGTTGGGTTTCTCCTGTCAGGAACAGGGGATTGCTCAGGTGATGTACTGGACTCTGGCCCCCCACCAGGTCCTTCTGCTCCGGGATACAAAAGAGCTGCAATAAACAGCACAGAAATGAAATATTCTGTATGATTAAAACCAGATATTAGTCATTAAAATTAAACTCGAGGTGAAAAGGTAAAGTTTTCCCTGTGTTAAATTAAGAACTACACCATGAAAATATATGAAAGAGTGGAGGTATGGCTCCATGCATTAATCTGAGCCTAAGATGGAGGTCAGTGGTCAGAATCATACTCCAACCACTTCATGCCTGGAGAAAGAGACTGTGGTATCCACTGAATAAGTCATTTGGTTGGATCCAGAGTTGGTCTGGACATGGTGGTGAAGAGAAAAATTGTTACTCCCAGCATCCTGCCTGTGACTGATCACCATATGATTGAGATTCATTAAAAAGGTTTTAGAACTTACCAAAAGTATGAACACAACTGGAATGACTCATCATACAATGAAAGAGTGAATGTTCCACTATCAATTCATGTTAATGAATGTGGGAATAATTAAAAACTTATGCATAATAAAATACAGTGAATGGTACGACATAAAGAGAATTCTGAGACTAGATAGCTGCTAATTTCTGTGATGTGTGTTTCATGGCACTACACTAATGTGTGATAATAAGCACATGAAACAAAAAGAGAACTGATCCAGGATAAATCTACTTACTTTGAAGTGATATTCGCTCCCCTCTTGATGTGGGTCTTGGCATAGGCCCTAATTCAGACTTGCAATCTACAGAACCTGAATAATCAGAATTCTCAGACCGCAAACGTTTATTCTTTTGATGTGCTCTTAATTTTGTGTAATCATCATGAAGATTACTCTAGAACATAATAAAATGAGGTTATCATTAATAAAAATTAATAATACCAATTTCTTCATAGACATACACACACACACATGAATATAGTATATACAATATAACAATATTTTAATTTCATGATACCTCCACAGGAGAAGAGTGTGTAATTTTTAAAATTTGTCTGAAGGATATTTGTGGCAATAAAATTATTAATGTGGTTATCATATGAATGATGTGGTAAATGTGGGAGGTGGCTTGCAAGGAAAGTAGCATTCTCAGTGTCAATCCTTCTCGTGTAATGAATGAGACAAACAACTTCCAAACCAAAACCTTAGTACTTGCTGGCTTCATTCTGCAAATCATTACTTATACTTAAATGAAATCTTTTTCTACTGTCTCTTAATAGTTAAAGTTGTCCACCTGGGAGTTTTCAACAACAGAAATTATAAGCTACCATAGCAATATAAAATTATGCAACCTTTTAAACAAAATATTAACACAGAAAGTGTTGAACATAAGGAAATTCAATACCTTGCCAGTGTTCTTATCATTCTTTGTCTCATAAAGTTATTCCTGTGCAATGGAGGTGCATGTTATGTCTTCAATACACAAATGTTATTTCCTCAGAGGAAATATTTCTCCTCATTGCATGGGAGGTTGGGAGAACCTGAACGTAGTGGTGATCTCTACCAGGAATTCAACAGTGCGTAATAAATCGCAGCCAGTCATATTACTAATGGTGGTATTTTCATTCAAATGTCAGTAACCCATGTTTTTCATCTTGTGTTTACGGGGAAATCTTAAATTTATTCTGACTCAAAAGCCAGAAATAAGTGACGTCAATTCATTTCCAGAAATTGTCATAAACTATCAAATTATTGATGAGTATTAATTACTGAAGTTGAAATAAACTTTCCATTTTTACTGATAGTTAACTTACACTTTTGAGCTGCATGGTTTCCATTGCTGCAAGTCTGTGGTCGTGGTACACAAAAGTCTGCATATGACCTGGAGATGAGGACATCTGTTGCCCCTGACCTTGTCCTTGAACATGGAATGTTGCATATGGAGAGATGTCTTCAGCATATTCTGAAAGTATGGAAATATAACTTTTTTGACAGCTTCTCTGGCACATGCACAGGACATGCTGCCCATGCAAAGATGTTCAGTTGTTTTAAAGTACTTGCTCCTTGCTCAGGATAACTGAGATAATGATGGGAATGATTGTGGCTGATGTATGAAGAGGAATTATACAGACAGTATGTTATTCATGTCAATCGGACAGACGGACCTAACAGAGGGCCGAATGGAAGAGGAGAATTGAGGAGGCCATGGACCGAATACGGACCGGACAGCCATAATGTATTATCAGTTTTTGTGCTAAGTATAACATGAAAACATAAGGGCAGGTCTTGTCAATCTATCTGCAAATTTCATCTCTGACTAATAAATGGACTTCAATTAAATTTTCTATTTGGTGTCTATGCTAAGTATTGTCGGGCAAACTTAATTTTGGTTCATAAGTGTAATTAGTCAACTAAATATTGTCATGAAGTCTTCTCACATGATCAAGTACGTCAGGAACAAATGGGTATAGAAACCTGTACATACTGATGCAGCCAATCACCCATGAAGACTTTATTGCTTTCAGCACATTCAAAATAATTATTTTTCTAAAAAAAAGGGCATATTGAGAAAAGTGAGTATTAAACAAAGTGCAGATCTCAGTAAGATAATATACAATATTTATTTCAATCATTTTTTAAATAGTTGTATTATTAATATAAGGAAGAATACTTTCTTACTATGAACTGTGGTGTGTGTAGTGTGATAGGAATCTGTATGAATATTGAATACTGAGGTGTGAAAAATCAAAGGAAAACACTTTTTTATTCATAGGAACCAAGGAGAACCATAAAAATCCTGTCAAAATAGCTGGTTCCGCAGATTCAAAATGTATATGTGTTGCACTACAGATGTTCCAGCATACTTTGTGAATCAGATATAAAGTTGGTAGTTATAAGCAAAAATAAATGTGACACAGTACTATGGTGAAGAAGTGGCACTTTTGCCGATAACTTATTTGAGTCCCTGAAATGATATAAATATTTTCAAGTTACTTCAGTTTCATGGTAACTCACCTGGTACCCTTTCCACTGTATGAGTAGCAATGCCTTTTTGTACCGCAGCGTAATACTGTTCCCTTTGGGCAAGATTTTGTTTGTTGTCCAGCGCTACCATTGCCTGCGTGTCATGGCCTGCATCACCCCGTCCATGACCCAGTCCAAGTCCTCCATCTGACTCATGGTCAGGCCCTTGATTTGGTTCTGTAATTATAAATTAATTTGCATTTTTCTGTTGGGATTAAACAAATTCAGTATAATATTACCGTAATACCAGCAAATGTTGCCATCCAATAAGTATCAATGTTAATTTTAGATGAAGTGTATTATAGTGAGACTGATAGTATGTTAAAAACTTTTCAAAAATCAAAAGAATGAAGAAATAATTAAATAATTTTAGATTTTGCACAAGACTGAAGAAATTGAAAAGAAAACACTGAAAGAATTACCTGAAATATGAACCTGAAAATAATAATATAATATGAAATAAAATGAAGAAAACGTGTAGGAAGACATGTAGGGATGTCTGGTGTGTGTCAGCAGTTCCTTAACCAATAAGTGGCCAGCTGGTAGCAACTCATGCATTGACACAAACAGAGTCTGCCACCACTAATTATTACACATTTGTTCTTGTGACCATTTAACTCTGAGCTATCTTCATATATGTGTTGGACTATGGTGACAAATAGAAATAAATAATGATTTTATCTGTGCAGAAACTTGAAACAAAAAATTTACAGAAGTAATCCATCTGCTGTAGGGCATTTATAGATTGAATTCCAGCATGTCATCTTAGAAATTATGGAAGGTAAACTCTTCATGTTTCACAGAATTGATTATGTAAATATTAAGTAATGTTCTTAAACGTTGAAGCAGATTAATTTCAGCAACTATTAAAATGGGGTAAGTAAAGTGATTTTAATAATAAAATTTTTCAAGTATGGACAGCAGATCCAATGAGATTGTGTGGTTGCTATCATATTGCTACTGCATCATCTTATTATGTTGTCATCTTACCTGGGAGGAGCCATCCACCAGATGGCATGTATCTCTAAAGCCATAAATAAAGGAATGAAACTGTCTGTATACAAGGATGGAAAGAGTTTACTTTGTAACAGAATCCAATTGGGCCTTGACTAACCAGTTTACTGGGTATAATGTTCATCAGTTTGCTAAAGTTAATACCTTCTCTAAAGACTTATAATTTACGTAAAGAGATAATGAATTAAAAAGTGTAATAAAAGAAAAATTATATTTACTAGGACGTACTTCGTCGCAGACATATATAAACTCCAGCAGACAATGCTACTAAAGCTAACAAAGAGATGGTGAGAGGCAGCAGTACTGCAACATCCAGGTATGCTGGAACTGCTTGATCCGATTCCACCAGAACCAATTCTGGTCCCAAAGTTCCTACAAGAGAACAACCAAGAATTTAAAGTTACAAATTTCCAATAACAGCATTGAAAACACATGACTTGTTTTAAAGAGTAGTATTAACACATTCACTGCCAACGATTTCAATTGCCATTCAAGTCACTGTGTGCTCTCACAGTGCAACTGATGACTCATGACATTGTATCTAGTCATAAACATATTTAATATTTTCTCATACAAGTCATCCAATTGCTGCAAATCCTCCACAGATCACAATAAAGGCTTCATGAAATATAGTATGTATTGATAGAAAAGAAAAATTTGCTTACCCTATATAAATCACTATTATTTTTTTTACATAGTCAGGACTGCTTGTGTATATATTTAAACTGCATATATTTATTATTTGAGGTTTAATTTAATGTGCGGTCTGTAGCTCAGACTACAAATTGTCAATTATATGATGATTAATGAATAATGAACTTGAATGTGTACGGAAGGAGTGTTTTGGCTTGTTATAAGGTACTGCGTTGGCACTTGCCCTGAGGGACTGAGGACAATCAAGAATACCTCACTCAGGATTGCTAGTCTTTGGGCTGATAATAGAACCCTGGACCTCACAAACAGGAAAACTAACCACTCAGCCACTATGTTCGGTATATTGAAACTAGTATTTATAGTGTGTGGTAATGTGTTAAAATCAGTATTGTTCACAGGCAGAATTTTATGAAGAAATCACACACGCCAAACTACTGAAGACTGCCTATACAAATGCTGCTGTTTTTCTGACTGTATCTGAAATACTTACTGGACTGATCTGAATCAATTCTTATAAATCATGGATCTAAAAGAACTGATTTTTAAGTAACATAACCTGAATAGTGCAAAACACATTTGTAGGTAACATACTTCATTTTTCATGTTAACTGAAAAAATAGTATGTTAAGAAAACTATTATTAATGCAATTCATGGTGAGATTTCAGTTTCTCATGGCAGTAAAGGATACCTGGTCACTGGATCAAGAAGGAAAAAGGTTAAACAATCAACTTCATCCTATTACCTCCTATCAGTGGTAGTGTAGTCACTGTGTACTCTGCCACTGTAGTGCCAGCACTGTTGGTAGCTGTCACACGAAGCATGTATCGCATCCCTGGCCACAGACCAGCAATGGTAAAGCTATCTTTGTTCTGCACATTGCTGCCAACTGCAAGTCAGATGTTCCTTTCATTATATTCACAAGAACACATGTCTGTGTTGAGCTGTCACTTCAGCGCTATTGCCAACACACTTGTAAAAAAGTTATGCAGCTTGATATCTTATTACAAATATAAAATTATCACACTGGAAGTAATCAAAGCTTGAAGATGACAGCCTTATGGGATACTACACCATGTAGTCTCATAGAAGCTGAATGATGTTTCAGAGGTGAGTGCTGCCTCAATCACCACAGCGATGGGTGAGATTACACAGCGCAGTATTTCAGAAGGTACCATGAAAACCCTAAATCTCACTTAACCAATACTTACTGTTTTACATACACAGAAATTTCAAGCAGACTATGTGATTAGAAAAATGAGAAATTTTCAGTTTAAAACTTTTCTATTAGGAGTGCATGAACAATTAACAAAACTGGTCTGTACACATGAAGAAATCTGCTCAGGCTGAAGGGACTTTTATGAAATTTTTGTTTGTGATCCTTATTAAACTTTACTAAGTAAATTTATTTTTTATTCATACTAAACACTTTTCAAGACCAATTTCAATTTAGCTCCTAATTTGGATTTGGAAAGAAAACCGCTGAAAAATGAAAGGAATAAATTTGAATAAAACCTGTACAACTATATAAATCAGATTTGTTTTTATAATTTTGATGAATACTTCAAGAAATATTGCAGTTCTTTCATTTGCATATCATTTACACTAATGCTTATGCAAAATGTTTGTTATGTGCAACATAATTTTAATTATTGCAAGCAGATCCATATATACTTTTATATGCATGTCACAAAGTTTTAACAAGCCGTTCATACATCAATTAACAGTTTTATTGTTATGGTCAAAACAGTTCTGTTACAAGGAAAAACATGCCAAGAAACATGGACACAAAATTCAGCAAGGGTAAAACATGCTGTAACTTGAACCTTGCTTTGCTGTCATTCACTACACACTGATGCAGTTTAAGCTAATCATAATAGGTGACAGTCACAGTCTTATACTTTTTTAATTTCAAATTTAAGAATGATTCAATGAAATGTGCAGATATTAAATATTATACTGAGATTTAAATGCTGACAATACGGTGATTAGTGTGTAATGAACAGCCTACTGACATATATATTTTTGCCAGAAGTGGATGGATTAATGATGTTTTTAGTTATTTAGTTTTCAAGACAACTACAGCTTTATATACCCAAGTTATATACGATTTTAATCAGTCTCTTGAAGAAACTGATTGAATGAGGTTCCAGACTGTTGGGTTTGGCAGGAGTTTATTAAAGCTGACAATTTCTATATCATGTTCACTCACCTGTGAGCCAATCTTCCTGCACAGTTTCTCTGTACTCAATACTGAAAGAAGTAATAGGACAGCCATTATCTGCCCACGTTTTTAAATGCAAGGTCACGTTACTTGGGTTTGACTCAAGAAATTCACTATAGGACGGTTTGAGTGGCTCAGCACCATCAGTTCGAGATGTGAGCGTTGGACTTGGAGATCCACTTCCTACTGAATTATAAGCCATTAATTTCAATTGATATTCTGTACCACATGACAAACTATGCAGACGATAAAATGTGGCATCTCGTGGTAATGAACGTTCCTCCCATTCACCTCCGTCTTCACGGCGGAAGTTAAGTAGAAAGCCACGCACTGCACTACCTCCATTTTCAACATTACTCCACTGAATCTGTAGCCATGTTGAGCCTCTTGCTGCCACACGTAAAACTGGTGCAGATGGTGGTACTGTAAACAAATATATACAAACATAAAACAATTCCTATCAATATAATCAATATAAAAAGAGTTTGATTTTCCATATCAAGGTTCATTCAACATTTAGCTGAGTCAGACGTGTGTATGACGGGAAAGAATACCCTCGATATCGTAATTCCTACCTACACAATTAACACTATGACCTTTAAAGACAGTCATATGTGAGATACTGACTCACAATAAAATAAGTCATAATAGAAGGAATAATGTTATCACAATTTTTAAGAAAATCTTTATTTTAAAATACAAGCTTCTTTAGAAATTAAGAACTATATAATAAAAACCTGTACCAAATATTTTCAGTGACCGCAAATGTATCTATGGCATTCATTATGCAACATGAATATTTATTTTTAAATTATAATTTCAAATCCTACTGTTAGACTAACCTAAAACACGCAGAAAGTAGCTTATCTCATCTGAACCATGAGCATTATTCACTGAGCAGCTGTAATTGCCTTGTTGTTGACGCTGTATGTCAGAGATGTGGAGAGAGCCATTTGTTTGTAAGTGAAAGGGGTCACCCATGATTGGTTTTCCTTCAGTACTAAACCATGTGCGTTCTGGAGGTGGAATACCAACAGCGAGGCATGGAAGGAGAACAGAGCCACGTCTACGCACTGAAATTGTCTCACCAAATGAGATGATGCCAGCTGCAACTGTAGTAAGAAATGTGTTCTTTAAATGTACCCTTCAGGAATGCAAAGAAATAGAATACTTTCCTGATATAGTACAATAAGAAAATACTACTCAAAAATTTAATATTCCATATTCTGCTTTATCAAGGGTTGCCAGATTTTCTGTTTCAAAATAAGATAAGGAGTACTTAATTCTAACTCTCTGGTAACAACCCAAAAATTCAACACCATCGGCATGACTTCCTGACGCTTTAAACTTTCAAAGGACTAATTTAATCTCTGCGGAGATACCGGGGTTATTTTTGCTACGCGATTCTCTATAGGTCGGCATCTTACATGAATGCAACTATCGCATAACAGCAGAGAAGCCTGTACACATCAATCACATGAAAGAATCGCAGTCAATCGCGGTGACCAACGAATTGCCGATTGTAAGTGTATAAAATATATTTTTTAAATTTCCTTTATTTTATTTTCGTTATTTCAGAGCTTTAAATGAAATGCCATTATATTACTCGTCAATGTTTGGGTGCTGGGAACGCATGTCATTGACTTCCCATTGATTGTAATAATAAATGAATTTCAATTTATGCTGATTCTGTTTATGCCGGTTCGTCCAGGAACGCATCCCCATCGTAAATCGAGGGCTACCTGTACAAAATTGGTGAAAAAGACAGTGGAAAGCAATTCAGCACTGTGGCTGATTATGGTGTGATTGCTTCTTTAATATAGAATAAGGAATATTAAAATGATACATTTATAAGTACTTCATTAAATTTCAACTGGTTCCATTAAAATTAATTGTGAAGGGTAAGTTATGCCTTAGATATTAATAAAACTTTCACATACTGGACTAACAGTATTAATGATTTCTGTTTAGTTAGCGTCATAAGACACATTGTACCATAACAGGAGGAAATATTTTATATAATTAAAAGTGTACCTCTATTATTGATGGTGGCATAAACTACAGGAGTACTCTGCCCCTCGCCAACTTGTGTAGATGCTGTTACCCAAAACTCATATGCTTCACCCTTATGAAGGTCATGCACCTCATAATGGGTGTTCATTGGCGGAATGTGTCGCTTCATCAAGTCTCTCTCCTGACCAGCTTTCAGAACTCGCCAATACACACCGTAGCTGGTAAGCTGGCCATTTGAACGTAATGGTTTTAACCAGCTCACTGTTAAGGATGTAGGTGAACTTGCTACAACTTTTATTTTTCTTGGAGGTTCAGGAGCTGGAATGCAGAAAAGTTAATGTTTGTTTAAAATACATTAGTAACAAGTGACGTAATTAAATTTTAATTAATAGACAAGTTTTAGATGGGGAGGTGGAAGACTTCGAAGAACATCCACTGACTGCAATAAGATGCAGACATATTTATTGCATAGGGGTCATCACTCACTGCTGCAGTGCTAAAATATGTGGACTTACAAATATGCCTATAAATCTGCCAAAAGGAAAATATTAAGAAATATTAAAGCCAATATGCAGTCTGTAGTCTTAACTATTACAAACAATTTTATTGGCTCATTGACGTCCAATGATGTCTTACCAGCTTCATCAGTGATGCAGTAGATAGGGTTACTCATAACTCCGTCACCAACATGGGTGTACGCCCACACTTGTATACTGTAGTTTGCATGCTTTTGCAAACCGTGTATCTCGGTGCTAGTATCAGAAGTAACTTTTGATTCTGCTTCAATGTGACCTGCAATAATTAATATAATGTAAGAAGTATGAGCGTGTATACAACTTTAACTTCTGAATGGTGTGTACTGTAAAAAATTCAAATATACTAGGTAAAAAGAAATATTAAACATTAAGTACTAATATATCAACACATGCACAAAAAGAAACTAATTCTAATTTATAAATCAACTTGAAATGTTCATTATATACCTGGAGGCCATTCATCTACATTTTCATAATATACTTTATATCCCTGAATACGACCATTCTGGAAAAGTTGTGGTGGTGGCTGCCAAGTTAGGGCTATGCTCTGCGAACTACGAGGCTGACATTTGATCTCTAATGGAGGTGCTGTTGGCACTAAAAGTACACAAATTATATCAACTAATCAGATTTAAGAGTTTTATGCCAGTAAAATTGTCGAGTTTGTGGTTATTTGTATTAAGACTTCATGGAGTCTAGAAAGAGATTATCACCAATGTTTTAGAGCAAGGCTGCACAACTTGAAAATACAAAATATAAAGTAAAGAAGTCCTACGGGCTGCTGTCTTTTGTTTCCAGTATGATAATTACATTGGTTAAAAGAATGTGAACATTATGCATTAATTATGTTTAAATAAATACATTAATGTGTTATATTAATTACTGTGTTAATTAAATTAAAAGTGCATTTTTATTCTTTCAATTTGATTTTTCGGTGGCCTGGGCACAGTTGAGCTGATTGCCCCTGGGCCAAAGAAAATCCGTCCAAGGGCTGCGTATGGCTCGCGGGCTGCACGTTATGCAGGTCTGTTTTAGAGGAGTCTATTGCCTAAATTTTCTATGCTGAAGATGGTTGTGACAGGTTATTCTAGAACTATGGTAACCACCTAAGGACTATATGGTGTCATAACCTTGAAGACCATAGCCTATATGAAATAATGAAGTAAAAATTTTGTTTTCATCTTGAAACATATCCTTTGTTAGAATTATATGTTTGATTTATTAACGTTCTAATAACACTTCATGTATTAAAAATTTCGACCCTTAAAAGCAGTTTATCTCAATGTAATTTTAAAACAAACAAGGTGATTCCAAAATTTTATATGTTTTTTCCATCTCTTAAATGCATGTTACATGCCCCATCCATTTCACCCACCTTCCTTGAAAGTCAATAACAACACTCACTTTCAGGAAATGTAAATGTGCGACTTAATTACTACTAAAGGAGAGAAGCTTAACGATTTTGTCACTGTGATGATGAATTTTCTGCTTTATAACAAGTTCTTCGAAAAAAAAAAATTTATAACATATTCTGAAAACTCACCATCTTCCAGTGTTTGAGCCACAATTTCAGCAGACATGGGGCCTGGTCCTTTCTCATTGAATGCCTGGATTACTACGCCATATTTACGGTACTTTTTAAGGTCTGTCAGAAAGGCTACTCCAGAGCCACTAGATATAGCTTTCACTGTTGTAAAATTGTAGCCGCTGGGACGGCCTGATCTGAAATTTAAATTTACATTTTTGACATCAGTCTGGATATAATATGATAATACATATTTACTGAAAGCAGTATGGGAATATATTAATTTCTTATATTCATAAATTTTGTGTTCATGAGCAGATATTTGAGTATATTTTGCTACAGTATTGATGAATGAGACATTTTATAGTATAATTTTAAATCAAATTTCCATACTTTACAAGACATCAGTTCAATGGTTTTGATTTTCAAATGCAAACTTCCAGTTGTTGACTGTCTTGTTTCTTTGCTCTAGCACTATGTACAGTCCACAGACCAGGAGAAAAGCCCTGCTAGGAATTCGTTATACGTGCATGCGCAAGATTTTGCGGTGAGTGACGACCCATCCTAAAAGCATTCGTTCCACAACCACTGAACGAACAACAGATGACAGGCTTTCATGTGTTCTAATCGGTACAGCTTTAAGATTAACTCACAGAGGCACAGTGATTTAATCTAGGATATTATCGCAACACCCGCAGAACACATTACAAGTGCGCTCACTACACGCTACTCTTAACTGCTTGATGTTTTTAGTCTGTGTGTAGTAGAGTAAAACTCTGACGTATCGCACTTCCCACCAATAGCAGCCCTCTAGTCCACTTGATAGTAAACATTCCCCCTGCACCGCCCCAGAAACGACTTCCCCCTGCAGGTCTTTTCTCCTGGTCTGTGGACAGTATATTAAAGATTATGCATTAATATTTTATTTAGTATCCTCACCCATGTTCTCGGTAGCCCACGTAGTAACCGAGTATTTCACCATTCCACAAGTGCTGGAGAGGTGCAGTCCATGTGACACGTAATGAATCGGAAGCAGTGGCTGTGACAGCCACAGCTTGTGGTTCACCTGTTGGAGTCTCACCCTCTGTACGCAACATCACCGGCTCACTGGGTTCACCTTCTCCTAGCTCATTTTCTGCCAGCACTCGAAACCGATACATTGTGGCTGGGAGCAGGCCCGTAACCACTGCTATCAGGTCTGTCCCAGCCACCACATTCTGCCATCCTTCAGATAAATCTGAAACCAAAAACACAGATCTACATGAATGCTAAAAGAACTAAAATTTCCACTTTCAATAATGCTTTTATTTCTAATAACTTACATGTTTATCTTCAAAATTTATGACTTAGAAGACAATGTCAACTGTATTCTTTTATACCATCCATACAATACATTTCTTATAATGTTGGAGATCATGAAAAGTAGGCGAATCCAGTTCAAGGACTAGAGGATTGAAAAATCATGCACTTAATATCACTATAATGGCCATTTCTGAGGTTTCTCAGAAATATTTACATTCTAATTCCAATTTGTATGAACAGATGCCAGTAACTTTCATCTTACTGTGGATTGCATTAAACTGCAGACTCGTTTCTCTTATAGAGAAGTATGAATAGTAATACCATTTCACATACTGCTGTAGAAAATTATTTATTGTGTGTTATTGTAAACTGGCTGGCCATTAAAAACATACAAGAAATAAATACATCAAGATAAAAAACGTACAGACAACATCTTCATACTCACTGATGTGAGACAAATAAATAAATATGTAATAAAGATTTTTGTAAGAATGTTGAAAAATGTACATATTTGTAATCCATATTTATTAAGTTTCTTATGTACCAAAAATTTCAATTAAACTTTCACAATCATAGGTCTTAATAGGTCCGAACAATATAAGTTTTCATAAAAGATTTTAGTAAAATATGTGGATTGCATAAGAAGCAGTGAAAGGTTCAATGTCCATTTACTAACGAGAATTAGACTCCTCTTGGTACTGCACCACATACTGCAGGACAGGACTACGGTCATCTCTTGGTGCCAACCATGCCAACTGGACTCTGCGACTGCTGTTATCCACCACACGTAAATCCTGCGGTTGTCCAGGCGCATCTACAATAAGAAAGAGAGATAAATAAACCTTTTACAATGGACATAAAATTCGTATTTCACACAAATTATATATAATACAGAATGAATAATAATTATACTGAAAGTTGCAAAAATGTGTCTATTAGCTTCACCATGAAGTGCCTGTCTGTCCACATGTAATGTACAATTCATGAATGGATAAATTAATTTTAATGAAATTAGATACTGAGAAGCTTCATTAAAGATAAAAAATACAAACATGCACAAACCAAAAATATACCTTAATGCTGTCATGAGAATAAATATTCTTTAATTTATTATTTTGGAATTTATTTCCACGACGAACAACATTCCAACATTCATACCTTGAACTTGAAGATGGACAATGCGCTCTGCTCTTCCATATGGATTTTTGGCAGTGCAAGTGAAAGTTCCACTATCTGGTTTGACTGTATCAGTAATGTGTAGTTCTGATAAAAATCCACCCTTTATAGAAGTTCCTTTCACCTCATATCTGCAAATAAAACATATCAGCCGTGCCTTATAAAAATACAAATGACAAATTCTTTCAGTAAATCCAAAATTTTACAACTGATATTTACTGTAACTTGTAACAACATCTTTCAGTACATCTTTATGAAAATGTATGATTTAGAAATTATTTCAAAATTCTGTTTTAAATTAATAGAACATTCCTTGTGTTCTGACATGACTTATCTGGCTCTTTACCTGGGTTGAAGAGGAGATGGAAATCTTATTCCCTCACGTTGCCACTCAATACTCATGGGTCCATCTCCTACTGCTTGGCACTGCAGGGTCTGAGATGAACCTCGACGGACACTAGACTGAGCTGACTTTGTTTCAAATTCTGGTGGAACTGAAGAAAAGATACAGAGACTACATTATTCTAAAGTGGAATGCCATAATTTTTAATTTAAAAAGACAGAACTTTAGATAAATGGCATTAACATCTAAAAATGGAAGTAGAGTAAAAATAATTTGTATGAAGCTTAATAAGCAAACATGTTTACATTCATTTTTGTATAGCCATGATTACTGAAACAGTAAATTCAATCTAAATAAAAATATTTCTCTGTCCATTTATCCATGCACCTCTCAATAACACAGTTCACTGACTTTACCTTTCTTGGCCATGCAACTGGTTGCATGTTGCAATAGCAACTTTAACATAACATTAGATACAATTGTATAAATATTTTATGTAAATAAAAGTCCTATAATTATTAATCACCTAGGAGTTCAACAATCATATAAAAAAATCAGGTTTTCATTCAAGCAATGCTTTTCAGGAACGAATTAACTATGCAAATTGAGAAATTATTGTATCAGTCAGATATAAACCCTTTAGCCAGGATAGCCGGCAAAACACAGGAATAGGACGCAAATAAAATATTTATATCAATAGAAAAGGTATTATCATCATCATCATCATCATCAAACTGTCATGGCTTCTCCATAATATAAACAGAAATAAAATTTTAACCAATTATGGGAAATATTCAGAGTTTTTTTCCTGTTCATAATGGTAGAGTTTTTCAAATTGAAAATTCCCATGACATTCTTACCATGTACAACTAGAGAGACAACTGAGCTGAGACCTGCTCCAACGCCATTGGTTGCTTCACATAAGTACTGGCCTTGGTGCTCTCGTGACACAGGGTGGATGAGCAGTGTCCCATTTGGAAATATCTGTACACCTCTACTGTGGATTGACAAGTCCTGGTATTCGCTCGGCTGCCTTCCTGGACCCAAATTACCTGCATTATCCACGCTATTTGATTCAAGAAATCCAACTGAAATAGCGTCATGATGCAAACCACAAAGAGGAAAGTGCCAAGTTTTATTACATACCAGTTTTCCAATTCATAAATTAGGTTTAATTATTAAAAAAAACATGTAATAATGAATCACTGACTGTAGATCAATACGGTGACACTGTGTTGGTTGGTCAGACTCATTGCACACCGTAATAATGGTGGGTATGAAGATGATTTTTGGAATGTTATACTATATAGTCTCAAAGAAATACAATGACATTTCAAAGGTGCCTCATCATCCTGATTATGAAGGCAGTAAGTATCTCTGAAACGAGATTACATGGCCTGACATCCCAGAAGATAGTCGTCTCCATAATTGTGTTTGGTCGTGAAACAATGGTGAAATCTGTCTAGGAGGACAAATTGAAGTACCAGAAAATAAAGCAGCACCAATCACTATTTTCACTGCAAATCCCACCATGGACTGCACAATGACAGAACCTGGCTTCTGCAGTAAAAGCCAGCACGTAATCTCCTGGGGACATGTGGCTTCAAGCTGCAGACAGGGGATTATATATTCAATGTCTTTGTCCAAGGTATGCACAAAAATATCTGTACCAGATGTAACTGAAGACTGAGTTAAGAGCCAAATTATATAGTTGTTTATTATTATGAGATTATAAAGTACTTAGCTTAATTTGTAAAGAATATATACTGACAATTTCAAAGACGTAAAATTTTAAATTTTAGTTCTTAATTTCTAACAAGTCTAGTATTATTTTCATTACCCTTTGAGCAAATTTTAGCACAGAGAGAAGGCTAATAAATGTCATCGCTCGTAATTAAAAGGTTAATATTTTCTGTACTGAGTTGTCACTCGAATTTCCTCCATTTATTGTGATTATAAATGTAAATGCAACTTAAAATACAGCAAATTCAAATATGTTTTCCAGGGTGTAAATCTTCTGACAAGAGATTAAATGTTTAATAAACTGAAAATTAAAAAATATCAACCCTGACTTAATTTGCTTTGAATGGATTTATAAAATTAAAAAATATCATATCTGACTTAATTTGCTTTGAATGGATTTAAAAACTGTTGGCATGAACCTATCTTTCCTTACATAGGACTGTAATCCAATTTTCCAGATATCAGTCTGAGTTTTGAAAGAGGGCCTCTTGTAAGGTTAATTTATTTAAATATGTGATAACTTACTAGGTACAATAGCAAATTACTTTGTTTGAATTTAAATATGCTGGACATAGTGTTTTATAATGCAAAATGGCTTCTCACCAATTACTTTTCTCCAAGTTTGAGTAGGGGCTGGGAAACCTTCAGCTTGGCAATGGAAGACAGCTGAATCATCCCTGGTAACATTTCGATCCCTTGGCTCCGAAATCCAGCGTGGTGGTACTGTAATATTGTAATTAATGTAAGAAGATAATTTAAAGTACCATTTTTTTAAGTTTAAGTTTTATTTCAGTTTCCATCAAACACACCCACTTTATTCTGATGCAATTGACAAACCTGTGGACCATTTCCATTCAAATATATTATTACCAATTTTAATATGACAGAATATTATAAGAATTCTTCAAGCAATTCTGAAGTTACTTTTCTGTAAACTGGAAATATATAATATTAATATTATAATCCCTAGACTTTTATTTTTATCTAATATCCTAGCAGACTTTAGCACTGATAAATGAGTGAAATTAGATTACAATTGTGCATAAAAATAATTTTGAGCAGAAAATCATATTTAAGTGTAGTATTTTATATATGATTATGTAAAGCAGGCACACAACTACAGGCTACAGCAATCATCACAATAAAGCGACACGGTCAACTATGAGAGAAACTTCTCAGCCAATTGTGTCCACACGCCTCCTACAGTGATTGCGCCAATACCATGGCCTACCGTGCAACCGAGCTGGGATAGATTTGGATTTCATGTGAAGATGGAAACAAAGAGAGAGAGACAGAGTGACAGTGAAAGTGTAAAAGTAAATAAACCAAGGCCAATGTCCCAGATCTCTATGCATCCTAGCTAGATACCAGTGGCACTTAAATGAGAAACTGTAATGCTGGTACAGTACTGGCATGTGAGAGGATTCTTACTGTCACTTTGTCATTGAAACATTAATTTATCCACATATTATTGATGTAATATTTAAAAAGTTTACGATTTACAACTAACGTTTGATTCAGCTGCGTAGATGTCATTCTGACTTCAGATTTCAATTAAGAATGGCATAGACAACCCTGAATTCATGAACATTCACACTAGACTAAGAATAATAGCAAGTTCACAATTAAATTATATGTTGATCTAGAAGAGTACAGCAAAGACAACAAAGTGTTTTTGTTAGAAGTGTTTTATAATTTAAAAATTTCAGTAACTCATTCAAATATCAGAAAACAAGAAATTAAAATATTACATGACTATAATCAAACACAAACTGAGAAGAAATGCTTCCGTTTCTAATCAAAACTGGCTTGAAATGATTTTCAGAAATATAGTTCTTAGTTTCTAGAACTAGAGTGGATGTTGATCTGGGGCTGCATGGTCATGTGCATTTGACAAAGCCATCAAGCGGTGCTGTTGGTAAGTGCACGCGAGATGGAGGATCTGGTGGATGGACTGACAGGATTCGCGTCCCACACGAACGATCCGGTGCAGTGGTGCGGACATCAACCCACAAGTGCAGCCAAGCGAGTTCCGGTACCTTCCGTTATGTTACGTCACGTTATGTTGCATTCTGTTACATCACGTAAGGTCACGTCTCGTTATGTCACGTTACGTTATGTTACATCATGTCACTTTGTAATGTCAGCCTTCTTCATGTCATATGCAACTTCTTTACATAAAGTGGAAACTACAGAGAATGGTGGTTTGCTATTCAGTTGCACTTTTGATGAAATGTCATTAGAATGAGAAACTTCTCAGGCATTATCCATTATTCTAATTTTAATTAAAAAAATATATGCTGGAAATAGGAATCAGTTTCTATTCTCAAAACCTACTCTGCTTTGCCCACTCGACAGAGCTTGTTCCTGACAGCAACAGATTCCAGTCTCTGAAAAATCATTTGTAATTAAAGTGAATAAAACAGAAAATATACATGAAGTTTGTCATTGTAATTTCAGAGGGTACTTAATGAGTTAAAGATGAGCAGAAATATATGCAATGAACTGAGGAGGATAAGTGAGGAAGTGATTATGTGTTACTTCACACCAATGGAAGGCAGGTTTAAAGAACATTACCATGTTAAAGGACACTTACCAATTGGTATTTCCCCATTAAATGGTAATCCATGTGACATTTCAAAAATGTATACAGCTTACTTGTTAATCTGTAGTTATTCAATGATTCCCTCTCAACTGAAAATGTTATATAGAAACAACTATGACGGGAGGATAAATATATACAGATAGCTGGAAAAGTTGGACGGAGGAAGTGTTTGTGGGTTATTTCAAGGTACATTTACTTGGTACACTGCAGAAAACTGTGAGAAAATTTCAACATGAAACTTGATAAATCCACTATTGTGCTAACCTGTTCAAGAGACTGAGTGTGCATATGGTACATGCAGTGGGATGTAGCGTGATAATGATGACAGTGACGCCACATGACGTAACGTGAATGTCATAACGTGACTAAACGTGACGCTGGTGCCGAGTGCCAGTGTGCGGTGAGTTGTGAGGTGCGACACTCAACCAGTCACGTTCATTTCGTTACGTTACCACTGACGACCAGCTGTGCTGTGACACTCGCAGTCTTGGCTGGGTTGCCGGCAATGCACGTGTAGTTGCCCGCATGTGCCCGGCTCACGCGAGGAATGGCGAGTGTGCTAGAGAAGTCGTCTTGCATCACCTGAATGCCTAACTCGAGCGGAAGCGTACCGCCATCCTTGAGCCAGCGAAGTGTCAGAGGTAGGTCACCCGCTTGGATCACGCATTGTACCTGCGTGCGAACGCCCTCGATAAGTTCGCCGAACGTGAACGGACCTATCCTAGGAGGAACTGGAAGAAGAGAGCGGGGATTGAAAATCTGATGGCGATGTTGAAGAGCCAACACACATCGTCCAGCCCAGGGAGAAAACTGAAACAAACTGTGGGAATTCCAGATGGCTGGACGATGTTAATGGCTGATTACCGTTCACCAGAAGCCTGGAGGAATGAGAGGCCTGGGCTGCTGAGTTGGTAGCCAGGCATGTGTAGTTTCCAGCATGATGAGGCCTTAGACTCTCGATGCTCAGTGAACTGGTGAACTCTCCCAGCTGCTGGACATTCACATCTGAATCCAAAGGTCCCCAATCCTTCCTCCACTCAATGGTAAGGGGTAGGTCCCCATTCGTAACAAGGCATTGAACACCAGCACGATTTCCCAGATGTAGATCCATTTGAAAGGCGAATGGGGATATTTTTGGAGGTACTGTAACACAAAGAACTTGCAGCGCTGGTTGCAAACAAATGTATGTAGTGGGAAGAACATCAATTGTTTCTTCCATATTGTGTGTGCTTTGGTAAGTGTATTTATGCATATTAACTTTATCAGCTGAACAAAAGAACTGAAAACAACATTATAAATTAAAATATGAACAGGGTGATCATGTGACAGAAATATAATGATCTATTTTTACTCCCTCAGCTACAAATTAATTCTGTTGTCAGACAACACACAGTGTAGCTTGGAATTGATTTTGTAATTTAATATGGGCATACTCTAAATGTCTGTCTGTAACTAATGGAAGATAAAGTAAAATAAAATAAATATCTGATTTGTGTAACTCAAATAATTCCAGACTTCCACAGTGTAAATAATCTGACAACGTAGATTTTCATGTTTCAGATATTTTTGTAATGTTTTATTTCACATAGAAATAATAATTAATCTAAGAAACCAATTTAAAAAGTCTATAATTCACTGAAATAATTTATATATTTTCAAAAATGTTGAATAAGTGTAAAGGAAACTTATTAAGAGATGACATATCACTTACCAGAGTTAACAACTTACACATACCAATAACATTTAAATTTGTGCAGCTCTTGGTCCTTTGCTGCTTAAATTATAAATCATATAATATGGATCTGACTTGAATTTAATATATAATATATAATTACAAGTTTCATATATCCATATTCGAAAGCATACGAGCCAGTCTGTAAGCTAAGACCTTACAGCAGGAGTGTGCAACCTTCAAAGAGGGCAGACTATGTTAGAAAATGTAAATGTTATCACAGAACAATTTGCTAACACTTAATATAAATTCTCTGTCTCTTATTAGCCATTTTACAGTATTTTATAAATTTATTTTACAAAAAGATAACTTCTTACACTACTTACAATACTTCACTAAATTACACTGTCGCAGAAGACAATAATAAATGTAACTCTGATGGAAGCATTGCCCAAGTTCTGAAATTGAATGCTTACGAAAAGACGAAGGAAAGTGCACCGGGATGACACAAACTATCTGTTTTTTCCCCCCGTAACTACAAACTGGCTGTTACAAAGAAAAAGTTTAGATATCCGTAACATTTCCGTGTGGCAGCGTAAGCCTGTTCGAGTTTTGAGAAATTCTTCCGTCCTGACTAACGACCTACTTTCTTGTTGGTCGAATGTGCAAAGTTGTTATGAAAATTCTAACCGTACAATGAGATTATGTGAATCTGAGCAGAAAGGCCGATTTACTAAAACATAAGGAGCAATAATACAATTTAAAAATTAAAATTAAAGACAGTGTTTTTAATAAACCATCTATGGGTTTGCTTACTTTAAAAATACAATCCATAGGTAAGAGGTTGTATGTACCTGCATTATAACAATATTATAATTAGAGTTATAATGCTTAACTACTTCTTGAATTAAATATATAAATATGGTAAATTTAAAAATATTTCAGCATCACAGTTTATTTCCATGTCTCTGAAAATTATTGTGTAATAAAAACTTGAAGAAAAGCACATCACTCAGAGAATGTAGGTTATATTTTTATTAAAATTTCTATAATTATGTACCTAATTATTTCCCAATGGATTTTCCTTTCCAATCTTGTGACATTCACATTCTAACATGGCTATGTTCTGGGATGTAGCACCATGTAGTCTGGTAGACATTCACTCATCACCTTTATGATGGAGGCATCAGGGACCTCTGAACCACTGGTAAACTTCTACCAGACTACACAGCGCTACAACCACCCAGAAGACAGCCATCTACGTACTCACCACCATGAGAACCTCACATCCTACTTATTCGTATTCTACGTGAGTAGAATTATAATAATGTTAATTTCATATTGAATTCCGTATCATATAGAGGCCTTTGCCACAGGTCACATGCCGACTTTAAAAATAATGAAGATTTCTGTCTTCTGGGTTGTTGCGCTGTGTAGTCCGGTCGGTGTTTACCAACGTTTCAGATTCATCACCTTTATGACGGAGGCATCAGGGACTTCTGAACCACTGGTAATCTTCTACCAGACTACACAGCGCTACAACCACCCAGAAGACAGAAATCTTCAGACTCACCGCTCAACCTCAAATTTTAAAAATAATGTGTGCCTTCTCATTGGATATGTCTAAAATGCCATTAATAAAGGAACTGTTAACAAGTTTGATGTTATAAAATTTGGTTAATAATGCTCATCCCTTTTTAAGGTATGTCTGAAAAATTGCAAATGTTTCAGTGACACGAACCTGTCATCAGTTATGTGAGCTCTTAGACTCACTGTAATTAGAAGTACAGCAGAACATGGTCTACGCTACCTATGACATTGAGAGGAAGTGTCTGTGTGGCCGAGCGTCCCTGCTTGTTGGACGCCGTGCATCGATATATCCCACGGTCAGGATCACTCTGCACATTTTCCAATAAGAGCGTGCCATTGGGAAATACCCGCTGTCGTCGGTTCAGCGGAAGACGTCTTCCATCTGAGAAGCGTTTCAATCAGAGCAGTAAATTTTACAACAACCATAACATTTTTCTAAAGATAAAATTGCACACTTATGTGAATTACGCTATAACACATCTTGAATATATTCATTTTATGGAGAATCAAATGATTCCTTGATGTCTTTAAGCAAATCAAACACTTTTCACAAATGTGAAGGTAAAGCAACAAATTCTTAAGAGCCGGCATAGCTCAGTCAGTATAGTGACTGGCTACGGGCTGGACGACCGGGGTTCGATCCCCGATGGGGGCAGGGTTTTTTCCTCTAGCCTCTGGGGTCCACTCAGCCTCCTCTACAATGGGTACCGGGGGTTCTTTCCCGGGGGTAAAGCCGGCCGGGGCGTGATACTGACCACTCACCCCCATCTAGTGCCGAGGTCAAGGAAGAGAGGAGCTATACCTGCACTACCCCCAAGTGCCTACATGGCGTTAGTGGGACGATTTACTTACTTATAAATATGTGACGTACTTAAAATATTAAGTCGCAACTAAACTTTATTTGAAGTTGTAACTTATTTTTTTATTTTGTCCTTGGAAGAGTCAGATTTCAGAAATCACTTAAACACTGCGAAAAGAGGAAAAGTTGACTTACCTTTCTGCCAGAGAATTGAGTCAATGGGATAGCCGGCCACTGGACAGGCCACATAGAGAGGTTCTCCTGCTACAGCCGAGATGTTGGGCATCGGCCGAATGTAAGGGAGGCCTGAAAAAAAAAAGTCCCCAGAAGATTCTACATTTACCTTTTGAGTTACTGATATCACCAAATGATTTGCTAATGAAATGTTAATGGTGTATCTACGAACACATTACCATACTTACAAAGTTACATTAAATCTCAATTAAAATTCAGTAATATTACTTCTTTCAACAATTAAAGAACAGTAATCTAATTTTTTAATAGTCTTATTCATGTTTCCTGTACGATAAGGAAATCTGAATGCAAGAGACCACTCGGAAGACCTTGGTATAGATGGTAGAATAATTTTAAATGGATTTCAGATAAACAGGATTTGGGGGTGTAGACTGGATTCGTCTCCCTCAGGATAGTAGCCTTTGATGGGTTCTTGTACAAACGGTAAACACGGTAATAGATCTCCGGGTTCCATTAAAGGAACGTCGTATCTCATGACTGTCTGAGAGCACTGTAAAGTTTCTCACGAATAAATCTGCCACGTGCGAGTAAATTACTGTGATTCCGAAATATTTTAATTCGAAAGATTTATTGGCTCTTAACATCGTACAGCGTAATTACAAGATATGAAGTTCCAGAACTTCGCTCTCTCTTTGTTTAATTCCACATCATCCTTATTACAAGCAACTAACGAACGTCTGTTTTTATTTGCGTTATTTATTAGCCCAATAAATTAGCATCATCAGCAAAAATCTGGAGCGGAAATGTCTCACTGAATTAAAATCCCCCTTAATTTTCATGATTCTTCTTAATAGGGATTTTTAAATGAAAGCAATGATAATATTAAATCAGATGCAAGGCTTTCTATAAACAGTAGCAATAATAGACTATTTTAACTGCTGTAAAAATGTTTGATTTCGAATTCAAAAATCTGGCAACAAGGTTTGTTCTCTTCAGCGAATTTTTGTTACGGCAAATCCAAAGAAAATTTTATAAGATATAATGTCTTTATTACCATGTTACTATCGTCTTCGAAGAAACGAGATGTAAAATCTTCAAAAACAGACAATTAACCATGTAATTGTGTAGCCATATAATCATGTCTTCAATAATTTCCTTGCAAGAATTTTGCAGCGCGTCGTACGTACTGCAATGAATATCGCAGCTGAGCTGTTGGCACTCCTGCTTAATAACAGGAAAAGTAGCATTCAAGGGCGTTGCTGAAAACGCCCGTAACTGTGCAGGATTTCTTCCAATCATCCACAAGAACAGGGCGACGTTCAACTGTTAACAACAGCCAAACGCTTTGTTAAATCATCTGTTGACTGTCAATACATTCTAAG